TGTTCTACGAGTGGTCTGAGGCAGTTGGTAAATAACAAGTGTTTTCAAGTGCAACATTGGTAACGATGGCTTTGGGAAACAGCTCTGAGAGTTAACGATAGGCCTATGATGGTTCTGATGATGAACTTAGCCTTAAGATGCTTTTGGGAAACTGGGCCCTGGACAATAAATTATGTGAGAGACAAAACACATACTTTTAAAAAAATAATAATTTGAAGCGCAAATTACATTTTCGAAAGACACCTAATTTAATTTTGTATTATTATTTTTATTTTTTCACCTTTATTTAACCAGGTAAGCCAGTTGAGAACAAGTTCTTATTTACAACTGCGACCTGGCCAAGATAAAGCAAAGCAGTGCGATAAAAACAACAACACAGAGTTACATATGGGGTAAACAAAACATAAACTCAAAAATACAACAGAAAAGATATATACAGTGTTTGCGAATGTAGTAAGTTATGGAGGTAAGGCAATAAATAAATAGGCCATAGTGCAAAAATATTTAAAATTTTGTAATTAACACTTTAATGATAGATGTGCAAAAGATGATGTGCAAATAGAGATACTGGGGTGCAAATTAGCAAAATAAATAACAATATGGGGATGAGGTGGTTGGGTGGGCTAATTTCAGAATGGCTGTGTACAGGTGCAGTGATCGGTAAGCTGCTCTGACAACTGACGCTTCAAGTTAGTGAGGGAGATAAGAGTCTCCAGCTTCCGAGATTTTTGCAGTTCGTTCCAGTCATTGGCAGCAGAGAACTGGAAGGAATGGCGACCAAAGGAGGTGTTGGCTTTGGGGATGACCAGTGAGATATACCTGCTGGAGCGCAGACTACGGGTGGGTGTTGCTATGGTGACCAGTGAGCTAAGATAAGACAGGGATTTGCCTAGCATTGATTTATAGATTACCTGGAGCCAGTGGGTTTGGCGACGAATATGTAGTGAAGGCCAGCCAACAAGAGCGTACAGGTCACAATGGTGGGTAGTATATGGGGCTTTGGTGACAAAACGGATGGCACTGTGATAGACTACATCCAATTTGCTGAGTAGAGTGTTGGAGGCTATTTTGTAAATGACATCGCCGAAGTCAAGGATCGGTAGGATAGTCAGTTTTACGAGGGCATGTTTGGCAGCATGAGTGAAGGAGGCTTTGTTGCGAAATAGGAAGCCGATTCTAGATCTAACTTTTGATTGGAGATGCTTAATGTGAGTCTGGAAGGAGAGTTTACAGTCTAACCAGAAACCTAGGTATTTGTAGTTGTGCACATACTCTAGGTCAGACCCGCCGAGAGTAGTGATTCTAGTCGGGTGGGCGGGTGCAAGCAGCGTTCGGTTGAAGAGCATGCATTTAGTTTTACTAGTGTTTAAGAGCAGTTGGAGGCTACGGAAGGAGTGTTGTATGGCGTTGAAGCTCGTTTGGAGGTTTGTTAACACAGTGTCCAATGAATATGTATGAATGTATAATCACCTTCCGATGTAAAAACCATGGAAATTAAAAACAAAAAACTACATTTTAAGTGAGAAGTAGGGATATGTCTGAAGCTGAAAAATAAAGGAAATTTACATGAGCACCACAATGCCTACTCCACTTATGCTCTACCAAGGTTTTCCAGCACACAGCTTTGACCTACTACAGTAGCTATGTTTGTCTATTGTTCTTCAAACAATGTGTAGTCAGGTTACTTAGCATTCAAACCTCAAACAGCCTAATTCATACTCTTCAAGAGGAATAATGGACTTTACAGTGTCCTGCTATTAAACAATATATATATATATACTGTACCAGTCAAAAGTTTGGACACACCTACTCATTCCAGCGTTTTTCTTTATTTTAACTATTTTCTACATTGTAGAATAATAGTGAAGACATCAAAACTATGAAATAACACATATAGAATCATGTGGTAACCTAAAAAGTGTTAAACAAATCAAAATATATTTTATATTTGAGATTCTTCAAAGTAGCCACCCTTTGCCTTGATGACAGCTTTGCACACTCTTGGCATTCTCTCAAACAGTTTCACCTGGAATGCTTTTCCAACAGTCTTGAAGGAGTTCCCACATATGCTGAGCACTCGTTGGCTGCTTTTCCTTCACTCTGTGGTCCAACTCATCCCAAACCATCTCAATTGGGTTGAGGTCGGGTGATTGTGGAGGCCAGGTCATCTGATGCAGCACTCCATCACTCTCCTTCTTGGTCTAATAGCCCTTACATAGCCTGGAGGTGTGTTGGGTCATTGTCCTGTTGAAAAACAAATGATAGTCCCACTAAGCGCAAACCAGATGGGATGGCGTATCGCTGCAGAATGCTGTGGTAGCCATGCTGGTTAAGTGTGCCTTGAATTCTAAATAAATCACAGACAGTGTCACCAGCAAAGCACCATCACTCCTCCTCCTCCATGCTTCACGGTGGGAACCACACATGTGGAGATCATCCGTTCACCTACATCCGTTCACCTACATCCGTTCACCTGCGTCTCACAAAGACATGGCGGTTGGAACCAAAAATCTCAAATTTGGACTCATCACACCAAAGGACAGATGTCCACCGGTCTAATGTCCATTGCTTGTGTTTCTTGGCCCAAGCAAGTCTCTCTTATTATTATTGGTGTCCTATAGTAGTGGTTTCTTTTCAGCAATTCGACCATGAAGGCCTGATTCACGCAGTCTCCTCTGAACAGTTGTTGTTGAGATGTGAACTCTGTGAAGCATTTATTTGGGCTGCAATTCCTGAGGCTGGTAACTCTAATGAACATATCCTCTACAACAGAGGTAACTCTGGGTCTTCCTTTCCTGTGGCGGTCCTCATGAGAGCCAGTTTCATCATAGCGCTTGATGGGTTTTTGCGACTGCACTTGACGAAACTTTCAAAGTTCTTGATATTTTACGGATTGACTGACCTTCATGTCTTAAAGTAATGATGTACTGTCGTTTCTCTTTGCTTATTTGAGCTGTTCTTTGCCATAATATGGACTTGGTCTTTTACCAAATAGGGCTATCTTCTGTATACCACCCCTACCTTGTCACAACACGCCTGATTGGCTCAAATGCATTACGACGGCAAGAAATTCCACATTTTAACTTTTAATTGAAATGCATTCCAGGTGACTACCTCATGAAGCTGGTAAAGAGAATGCCAACAGTGTGCAAAGCTGTCATCAAGGCAAAGGATGGCTACTTTGAAGAATCTATTTTGTCTATAAAATATATTTTGATTTGTTTAACACTTTTTTGGTCCTACATGATTCCATGTGTTTTATTTCATAGTTTTGATGTCTTCACTATTATTCTACAATGTAGAATATAGTCAAAATAAAGAAAAACTCTGGAATGAGTAGGTGTTTCCAAACGTTTGAATGGTACTGTAGATATATATATATAAAATTAGGCTGTATGTATTTTTAGATATAGGCCTATTGTGAATGTGTATTATTGTTTCTTAGCTCATGTCAATATTACACAGGTAAGTTAACGGTTACAGAAATCAGGAATGCAGACACGCTCTATAGACCTCTATATATGAGTGACTGTGTCCAACACACCTGTTGTTATATTGGGCACCTACTGACCCAAAAAATATGTTATGAAATTGCAATTGCTAAAATAAAGGTTTAAGGAAGTGGAACTACAGGCAGGCACTACATTAATACAAAACAAAGAGCTCGCTCAATCAAGCATGATGATCTTGTAAGTATAAAAGCAAAGCTTGCTTTCATATAATATTTTTAAAAAGCTTGAAAAGGTAGTGGAATGGGATTAGTGTGGTGTGTGAAAAATCCAATACTTGAACTTGTATGCGGTACAAATCCCATTATTGTGGGAGCACCTCCTCTAAGAGTATGAATTAGGCAGTTTGAGAAGGTTTGAATCCTAAGCAACCTGCCTACACATTGTTTGGCATAGCTGCTGTAGTACGTCAAAGCTGTGTGCTGGAAAACCTTGGTAGAGCATGGGTGGAGTAGGCATGTTATTTTTTTGTTATTTTTTATGTAACCTTTATTTAACTAGGCAAGTCAGTTAAGAACAAATTCTTATTTACAATGACGGCCTACACCGGCCAAACCCGGACGACGCTGGGCCAATTGTGCGCTGCCCTATGGGACTCCCAATCACGGCCGGTTGTGATACAGCCAGGAATCAAACCAGGGGGTCTGTAGTGACGCCTCAAGCACTGAGATACCTTAGAACCGCTGCGCCACTCGGGAGCATTGTGGTGCTCACGTGAACTTCAGACCAATCCCTACTTCTCACTTAAAACATTGTTTTTTGTTTTTAAAATCCATGATGAGTCCTTCTATCTATCGCTATGGTGCCAGTCCACTTGTCTGTCCATGTATTTGTACTCTATGTACTTTGTGTGTTTTGTCACTCAGCCAGGACTCCCAGAGGGAGAGAAGAAACCTCTCAACCCTGTTTAAATCAGCTTCATCCTGCCTATTGGGTCCATGTTGACGTGGAATGTCTAAAGGGACAGGGAAATCCCAATGGACATCGCTATAGTGATGTTGTCCTATTTTAGACTTGGTTCATGTTGAGTCATATTGTAACTCTCCAGATGTTAAGGAAATCTGGGATGTTTTACCATAAATATCCAATATGCTGTTCTCCAAATATTCAACTACTGGAAACAGTTTATTGATGAAAAGTATTTGAATACATCACATTTGAGATGAATATTGAACAAAGAGTATGGGCCATCTTATTTCTATCTTTCTCCATGTTCTCTCTCTCCATCTGCCTTTGGGTCTCACTGTGATCGTGACTTCACTAAATCTCTTCCCATTAACACATGTACAGTGTGTGGAGTGTAGTAGCTAATCCCTTTAACTCACCAACCTAACTACTATATAAACCATGTGTTATATTTACTGAACTCATTCTATGCTCTCTAACGCTGATTCACATGCTTCAGTTATCTTGTTGGGCACCTACTGTCTATTACACCCCCCATCTGACCGGTCTGTCCTCTCTCTCTGGCCTTGCTGTTGTTGTCTGAAGGGGAGGAGCTTTTGGGGACGGAAGGAGCCAGGTACATGAAGATGGATGACTTGAAGGACCATGATGACGATTTCCTGTCACCCAAGAAATCTATGGAGTACGAGAGAGGGCTGGGCACTGTGTAGGGGGGCTGGGATGGGTGGTAGATGGAGGGGGTTAGAGTGAGAGGGAATGGGGGTATATTGGTAGTAAAAAAAGGGTGGAGGTATTGTAAAGAACGGGGAATTGATGGGTTAAACCTATATTGGGATGTGGGAAGTGGGAATGAGAATATATTCCCTACTCACTCCTTCTTGTTTTCTTCTCTCCAACAGCAACTACTCGCCTGCCATTCCCAGGATCCCTTGTGTCTCCCCGGAGATGGTCCACCTAAAGGAGCATGAGATGGAGCAGGTACAGAACAGACCGGTTAGGTTCAATCCCATGGGCTTGCCATATTATTAATGAAAATATTTGTATCACTGTAACCCTGTGGAGGGTGATAGAAATGTAAAAATGCTACGATGAGACAAGGTTTTTCTGTCTGTCTGTTAGGTACACACTCCAATGCCATTACATAAGGAGTATGATGATGACTCCCTGATCCCCAGCAGTCCAGCTACAGAGACCTCTGACAACGTCAGTCCCGTGGCCAGCCCCATACACACAGGGTCAGTACACAACCCTAACCCTACATCTAACCCATACACACAGGGTCAGTACACAACCCTAACCCTACATCTAACCCATACACACAGGGTCAGTACACAACCCTAATCCTAACCCATACACACAGGGTCAGTACACACAGTGTCCGTCCTACCCTGCCTGCAGCCCTACACTGACAAATGCCTTATGTTGTCCATAAATCAATCTCTAAGAGTGAAAATAGAAACAATATTATACTGTGTCATAATGTGAGGCATGTCTTTTGTCAGGTTCCTAGTGAGTTTCATGGTGGATGCTCGGGGCGGCTCGATGCGAGGCAGCAGACACAACGGCCTGCGTGTCATCATCCCTCCACGGACTTGTGCCGCCCCCACACGTATCACCTGCCGTCTGGTCAAGCCCCAGAAACTCCCCACCCCTCCCCCCCTGGTGGAGGGAGAGGGCCTGGCCAGCCGTATCATCTCTCTGGGCCCAGCCAGCATGCAGTTCCTAGGGTGAGGACTTGAATAAACACACTGTAGAGTATTGAAGGCAGGACAGGTGCATTTCGTAATCAGGAAAAAAAATTGGATTGTTTAATTGTGTTCCACCTTCGGTGAGGGTATCCTCTAATTCAGGGGTGTCAAACATACGGCTATTGATGTGTGTCTGTGTGTGTCTGTCAGGCCTGTGATCGTGGAGATCCCACACTTTGCAGCTCTGGGTCGAGGGGACCGGGAGCTGGTGGTTCTGAGGAGTGAGAATGGCTCTGTTTGGAAGGAACACCGCAATCGTTACGGCGACGATGTGCTGGAGACTATCCTCAATGGGATGGATGAAGGTAGTAGAATGAGAAGTTCTACTAACTCAGTCAGACCTGATTACAGTCACTGATAATGGGCTGTTTGGTGTTTATTAGTGCTTTCTTATCAGTACTGTATCAGTATTCCCCACTCTTATTGACCATTACGGTCTGCCTGTTTATTCCTTTAGATCTGGAGAGCCAAGAGGAGCTTGGGAAGAAGCGTATCCGACGAATCATCTCCACTGACTTCCCCCTCTACTTTGCTGTGGTGTCGCGTGTCCAGCAGGAGAGTGACCTGATTGGCCCAGAGGGGGGTCAGCTCACCAGTAAGCTGGTGCCGATGGTCCAGGCTACGTTCCCTGAGACAGCGGTCACCAAGCGAGTCCGTCTGGGCCTGCAGGTGAGATGGGAGAATGAGGAGGAAGAAGCAGGAGGAAGACAGTATCGTTAGTGCCTGCCTGTATGACCAAGCATGCTATATGCAGGGTTGGGGAGTGACTGATTACAGTTACATGTAATCAGTTACATTACCAGCAAAGATATCGGAATCAGATTATAGATCATTTTTTTAAAATGGATGATTACTTCTTGGATTACTTTGAAATTCAGAAAGGATGTTTGCGAAAAGATACATTGACACCTTTCTGTTTTCTCAATGACATTTAATTCAGCTGAGTGAGTCTGACCATAAGTCAGAGACCACTATGATGACACACCAAATGTGTTTGATGGATCCTTTTTGTCTTCTTCTAATGCCTCTTAAGGGGAAAAGTCATCCAAAAGTAACAGAAAGTAATCAGATTAAGTTACTCAGTTTGGGTAATCCAAAAGTTACGTAACTGATTACAATTTTGGACAGGTAACTAGTAACTGTAACGGACTACATTTAGAAAGTAACCAACCCAAATCTAGCTGAATGTATGCTATATGTATTTGGTTTGATCAGCACATTTGATATTTTTTTCCTTGCCAAGAGTTTTTGGTTTTTGTTGTCAATATGGAAATTGCCTTTTTTCTGTGTTCTACACTACACACAAACATTGAGATTTACTACATACACGTAGTACAGTAGTCACTTAACTGTGGGCATTTTAACCTTCAAAGTTTATTTGAGGCTGTTTTGAAAGGGCATAATTGAGTCACCAATGTTTGCAAATGAGCATGCCAGTATCCTAAAGCTTAATGCATCATTCACTACTGTGGTTATGTTCTATAGCTATAGTCATGGTTACATAATGCAGAGGGACCTTGTTACAGTGAATGTTCTTTAGCAGCATGCCTGTTATAATCAGAGTGGAGAGTGGTTTAGATTTGATTTCGTAACAGTGGTGAGTGGTTTTATCCCTTGCCATGGATAACCTCCATATTGGCCTACATACTGTAGTAGTCTCATCTTTTTAGGGAAATATGTGTATGTTACAGTGAACATGGCACAGAATGGACTTCACCATGCATGGAACTTCCATCTCCCCTGCTGCTTTGGGGCATCCGCTGTGCTGCATGCAGCCTGTAGAGCTGTGAATGTAGAGCCTTATAGCCTCATAACCCCAGTCATAGCTTTACGCTAGCAGATACGGCAACCTTTTCAAAGGCTGTACTAAGTGAGACAGTTCACTTGAATGTGTAGCGAGGGAGATCATTTATTGTATTCTAAACATCACTTCCCATTCATCAAGTGAAATAAGTGAACGAGGGAATCTGCACATGAATACTTGAATTGTGAGATGTTTTATGTACAGTACTGTGACTAGTTACACAGGGCCTTGGGTCAAACAGTCCCTTTTTCTTTAATATCTGTTTTGTATGAATGTATAAAGGTTCAGACCTTCATTGTCGATGTACACTGAGTGTACAATTAAGTGATAATGCCCAAGAAGCCAGTGTTTGGAGGATATATTGGCACGGGTGTTGTTAGCAAACCATGCCAATTTATCCTCCAAACACCGGCTTCGAGTGCATTATCACTTTTATACAACGGGTTACCAACATATTCGAATAATGATTTACATATATTCATAACAATGCCAAGAGTATGCAATGCTGTCATCAAGGTAAAGGGTGGCTATTTGAAGAATCTCAAATATAAAATATATTTTGATTTGTTTAACACTTTTATGGTTACTACATTATTCCATATGTGTTATTTCATAGTTTTGATGTCTTCACTATTATTCTACAATGCAAAAAAAAATTAAAAATAAAGAAAAACCCTTGAATGAGTAGGTGTGTCCAAACTTTTGACTGGTAGTGTATATCCATAAAATTTATGCTGATTCATGATTTCGACTGGCTGAGAAAAGCTGCCTGCCTTTATGTCTTGTCCCGACTCCCAACACGTTCATTACTATGCGACAGCTGGAGATCGAATTTGAATATTGAAACAATGTCGCAAATGTCGGAGAGACAGACAGCAAGGTTTATACAAATCTCCCTGTTGAAAATTAAATGTTAGTCTAAAAGAAATGTGAGATAATGTGTAGATGCTTTTTATAGTGGAGATCAAGTTTTTAAAATGAGACAGTGGATTGCGCAGTTAGATGGAACAGAGTAAATACAGTGCCTTCGGAAATTATTCAGACCCCTTGACTTTTTCCAAATTTTGTTAGGTTACAGCCTAATTCTAAAATTGATTAAATTGTTTTTTTCCCTCATCAATCTACACACAATACCCCATAATGACAAAGCAAAAACAGGTTTAGACGTTTTTTTGCTAATTTATTAAAAATACAAATGAAATATCTCTAATTCGCTCTTCTTTTCTCTTCCTATTTCTCTTCTTTTCTCTTCCTATTCTCTCTCATTGCTATCCATCTGTTCCCTATTCTCTCTATCCTATCCGTTCCTATTTCTCTCTACATTGCTATCCATCTGTTCCTATTTCTCTCTACATTGCTATCCATCTGTCTTTCCTTACATTGCATCCTCTGTTCCTATTCTTCTACATTTCTATCCATCTGTTCCTATTTCTCTCTACATTGCAATCCTTCTGTTCCTATTTCTCTCTACATTGCTATCCTTCTGTTCCTATTTCTCTCTACATTGCTATCCTTCTGTTCCTATTTCTCTCTACATTGCTATCCATCTGTTCCTATTTCTCTCTACATTGCTATCCTTCTGTTCCTATTTCTCTCTACATTGCAATCCTTCTGTTCCTATTTCTCTCTACATTGCTATCCTTCTGTTCCTATTTCTCTCTACATTGCTATCCATCTTTTCTATTTCTCTATTGCTATCCCTGTCTATTCTCTACATTGCTATCCATCTGTTCCTATTTCTCTCTACATTGCTATCCATCTGTTCCTATTTCTCTCTACATTGCTATCCATCTGTTCCTATTTCTCTCTACATTGCTCATCCACCACATCCTCTCCCCTCCAACATCAGGCCCAACCAGTCCCAGATGAGCTGGTTGCCAAGCTGCTGGGTAACCAGGCAACATTCAGCCCCGTGGTGACTGTGGAGCCACGGCGACGCAAGTTCCACCGGCCCATCGGCCTGTGCATCCCCCTGCCCCCCTCCTGGAGAGAGAGCCCCCGGGACTCTGGGGAGGGGGACACCACCAGCCTGCGCCTGCTCTGCAGTGTCATCGGTACGCCAACACTGTCTGTCACACTTTAGCAAGCCTGACTGAGGCCTTACGGTGGACTAATTCAGCAGTGAAACTGCATTACTTAAGGAATAGCTTAATAGTTTCCCTTTATTTAGAGTAACTATGAGTTGGCCTGCATTTACACCTCATAGACAGAAGGACATTTATTGAACATAGTGATTCGAAGTCTCTCAGCTGTGAGATGGGAAAACAGTGCAATCCAGATTTATGTAGGTCTGCATGCCAGAGAAGAAGCAATGTCATTACTATACTCAGCAACTGTTAATTATCTTCATTACAATGGCCATCAAAGTGATATGGTGAAGTAAAATCACCTTGCATGAATGAATTACATTTTATTTTCGTGTCAAATCGCCAGTTGGCAACCCATATCTTACGGGATTAATTGACACATAAACAAACATTACAATGGTTCACAGTGATAATTCAGTGATAATTATAATTGTGTTCTGCGCAGTGCGCACCGCATAAAGAATGACAAATAAATCAATACATAATAGCAGATAAGGTTATCCAAGCAATAATAATAACCCTAGAGCAGTAATAAAAAGTACAAAAATAAAACAATACAGATAAATAAACACAGAAAAATGAAACGGAAGGTGTTTATCTGACACAAAGAGAAGATTCAAATGTGAGACAGGCCTGCACATAACCTATATACATACGTGCACTTTGCTATATGTCTGGAGCTAAATATTTTTATAATTTAATTATAGGTTGCCTTTTCTTTTATTCCAGGCTTTATCTAACAATTCAGCAAGCGGAAATGCACAAAGGACAAAAAAACATTTCAGTTTCTCCTCATCGCTCAGCCACATAATGCCAGGGTATATCTGGAGGGCTTTCTGGAATAAAGACAAGCGTATAATCGTGGTAGAAAGGGCAATAGAGGATCAAATGAATTTCATTCTCTATCTCTTAACCTACATAGTCTTTCCTGGAAAAGGTCACACATTTCAGTTGCCCATGCTCCCCCTATTGAGCACCAGGCTCCCCCTATGGAGCGATCCCATTGAAAAACCTTGCTGGCAATTGGCACGCCTGCCATCTCACCTCACAGGGTTCCTAGTTATTGCCAGTATAGGCACAAACTTGTGGACAAACCTAAAAAATGACGTACTGCTCTATTATGGACATGTTTGTTTTTGAGATACAGTCTCTCTTAGAACTCCACACTCCTGCTGATTGAGGTTTAGGATGTGAACTTGTGTGTCTAATTAACATGATTGCATGTTTAATGTACCTTTTTCTCAACCCAACCTCCAATTTAAACGCCAACCTATGGCATAACTGCAGTAATAGAATTACGCCATGGCTTGACGTTTTAATTACGCCAGGTGTTGCAATAATTTAACTGTCACAGAATTACACCATGACTTGACGTTTTAATTACGCCATGTGGTGCCATATTTTAGCTGTCAGTCAAATTCCTCAAAAGTGAAACTAAAACTTAAGTTTAGGCATTAATTCCGAATGGTTAAGGTTAGCATTAGGGATAGGGTTAAACTTAAGTTTTGGCATTAATTCCGAATGGTTAAGGTTAGGGTTAAGGTTTGGAAAAGGCTTAGGACTAGGATTAAACACGTGACCTTCGGAGCCGGAGTCTGCGGCCATCCCTGTCCACAATGCCCTAGTAAGCCACAAGTCTACTAGAAGGCAGTAGGCACTCATGTTGCTCCTAGTGGACGGTATAGCGTTCACATTTCGCCAGCTCCAAACTAATCTGGTACCTGGCGTATTCCATTAGAGAATGGGCTGCTTTTTCTCCTCCTCCCTATGTCTTTGTGTAACTGATCTCTCTTCCTTATCTCCAGGTGGCACAGCCCCAGCCCAGTGGGAGGACATCACTGGTACCACCAAGCTCATATATAGCAAAGACTGTGCCAACTTCACAACCAATGTGTCAGCACGGTAAGTATAGAGTAACAACTCACTCACTAGCATTCATGTTAATTAGACAAACAAGTCCACATCCTAAATCTCACAATCTAAACCTCAATCCAGCTCTTTTTGTTACTGGAGAGCAGTTATCAAGGTATGCTGATCTCAAAGGATCCAATCATGAATAACTTAAGGGTTGCCATAAGTCCTACACAATAGTGTCTCTTCTCAGGTTCTGGCTGGCTGACTGTCCTCGGACAGCCGAGGCTGTGTCTTTCTCCAACCTCCTTTATCGGGAGCTCTCAGCCGTGCCCTACATGGCCAAGTTTGTGGTGTTTGCCAAGATGAACGAGGTCCGTGAGGGCCGCTTGCGCTGCTACTGCATGACTGATGACAAGATGGACAAAACCCTGGAGCAGCACGAGAACTTCAGCGAGGTGGCCCGCAGTCGTGACATCGAGGTCAGTACAGGGAGTTATATTGATGGTTATCATGATTATGTCATTGTTTATTAACTTCAGGCACTGTGAAGTGAGTGGAGTGAGTGGACCAGTCTGTGTATAACGTTAGTGTCGCCCCTCTCAGGTGATGGAGGGAATGCCGCTGCACCTGGAGTGTTCTGGGAACCTGGTCCCAGTGAGGAAGGCTACCCAGCAGCCTCGCTGTTTCAGCTTCCAGGCCTTCAAAGACAACAGACTCCCCGTCTCAGTCAAGGTGCTTAACCCCCATCTCACTGTCTTCATCCCTCTCTCCAATACTCCCTCCATCTCTGGGTCTCCCTCTCACTCTGAAAATGTATCTTGTCTGTTTCTCTCGGTTCTCTTCTCCAAGGTGAGAGACAGTAGCAAGGACCACTCTGGATTCCTGTCCTTCCTGCGCAAGTCTACCAAGTACGAAGACAGCCAACATGTGCTGTGCAACCTCAACATTACCATGCCCCTGTGTATCAAGGTAGGCCTCAACAAATAGTTCACGTTTTTGGGGTGCTTTAAAAAGCACTGCACTTTCATTTTAGAATACACACGTTCATATTTAATGTTGTGAACTTGTGAGATCTGAGACAAATCTGCTGTGATTATTTATTCCCAAGGCTTTTGCTTGTATTTGATTGGCAGGCTGCTGGTAGTGAAGACCGGAGGCGAACTCTGACTCCATTAGCCCTGCGAGAGAGATACAGCGCCATGAATGAGCCTGCCATGGGTAAAGGTGCCTGCCATCCCATCCCATCCCATCCCTATGATACTCCATACAGACCGCCATTGTCTTCCGACAGGTGGCATCATTCCTACACGACGCTTGTCCCTCAATCAGTGCAGACGAGTTAGTCAAGCTACCTGACATAAGACAATGACATACCCCACACCAACACGTTCACATTCCATGTGCCCCTTCATGCAGTAATAATCACAACGGTGCATTAACTTCTCATGTTAAAGTATCAGTTGTGATCTGGTTTCTGCAGCATCAATGAGTGCCATGGAAAGGACAGAGTTGAAGATGGCTTTGATAGCTGAACAGTTGGGACTGAGCTGGGCTGGTGAGTGAGTGGAATGAGCGTCTGTGTCTCGTGCCTGTGTTTGGTGCTTGTGTCAGTGTCAGTGTCTGTGTATCAGTGTTTAATGGCTTGGGGCTGCTTTTCCCTTCCTCCCTGCCTCTGTCTCTCAATGGTCTGTACCTCCTCCACCTTTGTCTCTCCAGAGCTGGCGAGGGAGCTACAGTTCAGTGTAGATGACATTAATAAGATCCGTGTGGAGAATCCTAACTCCCTATTGGAGCAGAGTTCTGCCCTGCTCAACCTATGGGCCACCCGTGAGGGCAAGAGAGCCAAGAGTAAGTACCTGAGATCCCATATATAGGTTGGTGGATCCCTCCTGTGCAACCTCTTATCCTATATTCATCATATCCATTCTCCACTCACCCATCGTACAGTCTTGCACTGGCTCCTGGAGTTGCACGTGAGACTTCTCCACTCTATGCAGTACCTTATATTAACATTGTGCTAACTCTATCGTTTTCTGGGACAGACCTGGGTCTGTCAGGGTACTGGTAAACAATTTCATTATTCTCCTCATAATATCTTCCATTTCCTTGTCTGTTATTTAACTGTCCATTTCCCATTTTCCTGCCTCTCGTCTCTGTTTTCTCTCTCTCTCTATCCTTCTCTCCTCCCCCTTTCTCTGTCTCTCTTTGTCTCTTGTGGCTCCTATGTGCAGTGGAGAGTTTGTACACAGCTCTGAAGAGCATTGACCGGATGGACATAGTGAACATGTTGGAGGGCCAGGGGCCACAGCCTGCAGGGAGGCAGGCCCGGGAGCCAAGCAGACGCAGACACAATGAGATTGACCACGTCTCCCCCAGCCTGAGCAATGGTAAGGCTTCTCCCCATCCCCATGCAGCCCTCTCCCACACCCAAGCCCCATGTCCTACCAGTTCTTCTCTCTCCTCCTCCTCTCTGCTACCTCTATCACCTTCCTGCCTCAATCCTCAGTCAATAGCTGTTCTATGCTACTGCCATAAACTTGAGATTTCTACAAATGTGTAACGCAGCAACCTGGACCAGGACTCAAGACACTCCGACAACAACTGCCTCTGTGGTGCCACTCAAAGCCTGACTCGGATACATTTCCTTGTTTCTGGTTGAATACTATGAATCAATTACCTATAGTGCCTTCAATCAAAATTACAACCTTGTCTAATAGTACCAGCTAGATTTTAGGATTCTCTCTCCACTGAAATGGCCCTTGAAACATTTTGCTGGGGGGAGAAACTATTACTGGTATATGGATTTAAGCAATATGAACGGAGCCTGCCAATAAGAGTATAGATTAAAATAGAGAATTATTAGATATATTTAAAGATTACAACTTCAAGAAACATTTGTTTTCATGTGTGTTTGATAAAGTTATTAGCAATAGGAGAGTTGATGATTTAAAAATAAATAGATACAATGACTGAAATGCTTAGTGTTAGTCAGCTGTGTTGGGTGAGTCTCAGATTCTGTTCATGCCAAATTTACATTTTGTTAGATCTTTATTCAGTACATAAGTTATTACACTGCCTCACTACTGTGTCATATCTGTGTATGTGACAGATGTATGTTATTACATCCTATAAAGTATGATATTGGTTATGAGTTGATTATGTTAATCTTTATCCAACATGATTTAAACCACAATCTGCCTACTTAGGCCTTATGTGAGATACAATGCAGGATATCTTGTGTCTGTAACAAACTCATACATGAATCCTGTCTGTAGCTTTTCTTTCAAACGTACTGTAGTTGGCTTTCCTTCCAGTGGTCACTTCTCAAACGTTGACTCCTTTTCCTCATGGTTTATTCTTTTACACAAGCATGATATACATCAGATTGACTCCAATTTCACCCCTGGACCAGTGTGAAAAAATAATGCACTGGACTGACCATCACTGGAGTGCTGTGGCCTCTCTTCTGGCTCTGCTCTGTGCCCCAGTGTCTCGTGTCATCACAGCAGGTGCCAGTGCCAGGTCCCTTCAGTGAAAACTGGAGCAATAATTGGTGATGTAACTCATGCATAGATATGACCATGACGGACAAAGGGACAAACGGGAGATGCTCAGTCAGATCACAGCTGCAGTGAATCTGATATCTGACACCTGTCCAGTCTGCCCCCCAAAGCTCTTTCCTTTGATGCTGTCTGTCTGGCTGTGTAACAAGGTGGCCACACTCTCACGGGACAATACCAACCTGACCTCCAGACATGGTATTGTGTGTTTTTTACAACAATGATTTTCAAGAGGTCTATGATTTATATGAGTTATGACTGATGTTATGAACAGGTTTGTTTCTGGCTTAGCGGATGTAGCTAGATAGTACGTATATGACATAAGGGGATGGTACAGAATGAGGATTCACCTCTGGCTCAATGTCAGTCTGGAAGATGATTACTCCCTTGATGACTATTACAAGAGTTCCCTAATTAACCTTCACAATCAAAGTAATTGAGATCACAATAGATTCTGAGGTGGGAATCCAAATCTGGAGACTGCAACTAAATCCCACATTCTACTCTTAACCCAGGCATAGTATATATAGGAAACAGAAGGTTTGTTTTTCTACACTTTAGACATTGTGGAAAACACTTATTTTTACGATACCTTCCAGTCTACCTGTCCCTGTCTTTTGCTTATTTTTGTCACATTGGGCTCTTAGTGATTTTGCCATTCAATTCCCTTTCTTATCTCTAGTGGTTTGAGTGGTTTGAGTCTGAGACACATAATATGTAACTCAATAAAAGCAATGAGATCAGTTTAGTAATACCAGAGAGGCTTGGGAGGCCTGAACTGAATCCAGCTAGGCTCCTGTAAGGGTAACACATTACTTTCTCTCTGCATGGCGGCGTAGTAGGAGTCTCTTCGGACAGGGGGTCGTTCCATTCGGTGTACTCTTTGTTCCTCTGGGATCCTCCTACTTGTTCCCTTTGACTATCTGTCCCCTCTCTCTTTGTGTTTCTCCGGACATGTCATCTGCAGCCCAGCCGCCCTACTCTTCCTCCTTCTCACTCCTCCTCTCCGACCTCTGAACTCATGCCCTCCGACCTCATGTTGACCTCTGGCCCTCATCTTTATTTTACGACCAGTTGTGCATATTTTTTATAACTCTTTATTTTTTGTACTCTTGAAAATTCCACCTTTTTAACCGTCTGCTCTGTGACCAATCCCCCTCACACACTGTGTGCTCAGCACCCCCGGAAGGGGGGAGGTGTCCCTCGCTCTGTCACACTCTCAGTCCATGTCTCCCTCTTTCTTCCTTGTCTCCCCTGTCTCTGTCTGTCTCTCTTTTGTTCTGTGCCTGTATTTTTTTCTTTCTTCCTCTATCTGTCTTCTTCCCTCCTATTTTCCCTATCTGTGTTTCCCTCCCTGCCCTGCCTGTGCACGAGGCCCACTCTCGTCTCCCACCTCCGATATGCTTGCATGGAAGCATTGGAATGAGGTTGCAGGAGCAGTGGCCTGTGGGAGACTTAGTCTGGAGCTGTGCATGCCTCTGCGTCTTGTAGCTGCTTTACTAACATACTGATATTGCATGGTATGCATGCTGGGCACAGGAGGTTGGTGGCACCTTAATTGGGTAGAACGGGCTTGTGGTAATGGCTGGAGCGAAACCAGTGGAATGGTATCAAAAACATCAAACACATGATTTCCATGTGGTTCATACCATTCCATTTGCTCCATTCCGGCCATTATTATGAGCCGTCCTCCCCTCAGCAGCCTCCTGTGGTGTGGAATGACCTGACTGTCTAGTCTGCCTGTTTAGATCCTCAAAATATTGTATTCCTTGTGGGTGGTAAAAAAGGACCTGAACCCTTTTTTAACCGTGTATTGTAACTGCTCTGTTCATGTATGAATGTTGTGAAGTGTTGTTTATCTGTTGTCTGTGTGTATGTGTGGGTTTATCCTGTGGCTTTGAGTCACTCCAGAATTTGGGGATGTAGTATCTATGCCCCTTCTCTGTCACACACCTCATATTTGCAGGGAGTGTGTTCATGTGACCCTTCCATTGAATCTCTCTGTTCTATGCGAGTTGGTGTGTGTGTGTGTATGTGTGTGTGTGTGTGTGTGTGTGTGTGTGTGTGTGTATACATGTCTGTGTTTTATATGTTTTGTCCAGTGGGTTGTCTTCTATGAGTGTCTGTGTGCTTCAGTGTGTCTTTGTGTATTTCACAGTGTGTGCTTTCTTCCAGTCTGTGTGTGACTGTATGTGTCTCACTCTGTATGTGAGCTTCAGTCAGTTTTCTATGTTTACAGTGTGTTTGTCTTTTTACCAGGAGGGTCAGGCCACCATGTTAATTCCTTCTCACTAACACCCTCCCCTATTCCCCTCCTCCCTCTCTCTGTCACCATCCCACTTCACCATCCAACTGACCATGGGAGTGACACCACCCACAGACACAAACATAGAGAGAGAGAGAGAGAGAGAGAGAGAGAGAGAGAGAGAGAGAGAGAGAGAGAGAGAGAGAAGGACTGGCAACAAGAATGGATGGAAACGAACTGGATGGCAGAACAACACAGATTTTAGATTGTCTTTTAGATTGTCAGAGACACAAACAGACAATCTAAAACCATGTACAGTAGAAACTAACCTGGTATTGGCGATACTACTAACAATCGAGAACGAAGATAGTATCGCCAATACCAGGTTAGTTGAAATATCTCTGACAATGTTTTGTATAGGCAAACCTGTAACTCCCAGTATAATGGATACCAACAATGTTTGGTTAAATCACTATCTGGTGTTACAATCTGTTGCTAGCCCTGGACCAAAGGTAAGGTGGCTGTCTCCCTGGGCACATGTACATAAAACACGGTCCTCATTTCTCACATAGATGCACATCTTAAATCAGGTTACAGACCAGTTAACTAGGCCTAAGACCACTAGACTTAGCGAGTGCAACAATATTAGTAGGCTAGTTATTGGTTTCGTAACAACATACACAACCTCAAAAGATGATTTACAAACATACAGTATACCGTGATATGACATGAATCACCCCACTGGCTATAGAGTAATGTACAGTTCCAGTCAAAAGTTTGGACACACCTACTCATTCAAGGGGTTTTCTTTATTTTTACTATTTTCTACATCAAAACTATGAAATAACACATATGGAATCATGTAGTAACCAAAAAAGTGTTAAACAAATCAAAATATTTAAGATTCTTCAAAGTAGCCACCCTTTGCCTTGATGACAGCTTTGCATACTCTTGGCATTCTCTCAATCAGCTTCATGAGGTAGTCACCTGGAATGCATTTCAATTAACAGGTGTGCCTTGTTAATTTGTGGAATTTATTTCCTTCTTAATGCGTTTGAGCCAATCAGTTGTGTTGTGACAAGGTAGGGGTGGTATACAGAAGATAGCCATGTTTGGTAAAAGACCAAGTCCATATTATGGCAAGAACAGCTCAAATAAGCAAAGAGAAACGACAGTCCATCATTACTTTTAAGACATGAAGGTCAGTCAATACAGAAAATGTCAAGAACTTTGAAAGTTTCTTCAAGTGCAGTCGCAAAAACCATCAAGGCTATGATGAAACTGGCTCTCATGAGGACTGCCATAGGAATGGAAGACCCAGAGTTACCTCTGCTGCAGAGGATAAGTTCATTAGAGTTAACTGCACCTCAGATTGCAGCCCAAATAAATGCTTCACAGAGTTCAAGTAACAGACACATCTCAACATCAACTGTACAGAGGAGACTGTGTGAATCAGGCCTTCATGGTCAAATTGCTGCAAAGAAACCACTACTAAAGGACACCAATATTAAGAAGAGACTTGCTTGGGCCAAGAAACACGAGCAATGGACATTAGACCTGTGGAAATCTGTACTTTGGTCTGATGAGTCCAAATTTGAGATTTTTGGTTCCAACCGCCGTGTCTTTGTGAGACGCATCTGTGGTTCCCACCGTGAAGCATAGAGGAGGTGTGATGGTGTAATGGTGTGGGGGTGCTTTGCTGGTGACACTGTCTGTGATTAATTTAGAATTCAAGGCACACTTAACCAGCATGGCTACCACAGCATTCTGCAGCGAAACGCCATCCCATCTGGTTTGTGCTTAGTGGGACTATCATTTGTTTTTCAACAGGACAATGACCCAAAACACACCTCCAGGCTGTGTAAGGGCTATTTGACCAAGAAGGAGAGTGATGGAGTGCTGCGTCAGATGACCTGGCCTCCACAATCACCCGATCTCAACCCAATTGAGATGGTTTGGGATGAGTTGGACCGCAGAGTGAAGGAAAAGCAGCCAATAAGTGCTCAACATATGTAGGAACTCATTCAAGACTGTTGTAAAAGCATTCCTCATGAAGCTGGTTGAGAGAATGCCAAGAGTGTGCGAAGCTGTCAAGGCAAAGGGTGGCTATTTGAAGAATCTCAAATATTTTTTGTTTACTACATGATTCAATATGTTATTTCATAGTTTTGATGTCTTCACTATTATTCTACAATGTAGAAAATAGTTAAAAAAAATAAAGAAATTACCCTTGAATGAGTAGGTGTGTCCAAACTTTTGACTGGTACTGTATACAGCAGGGTTCTTCAATTCCGGTCGTGGAGGGCCGAAACACTTCTGTTTTTTATTTCTACCTGGTAGTTAATTGCACTCACCTGGTGTCCCAGGTCTGAATTAGCCCCTGATTAGAAGGAGAGGATGAAAAACAGAGGTGTTTCGGCCCTCCAGGACCGGAATTGAAGAACCCTGGTATACAGGAAAGTTCATCAGCTAGAAGTCTTAAAGTTTGTGGAAATGTTGAGGATTCTATAGTACAGGGGTTATGCATATCATATTGAAGGATGCTTGATATGTGAATAACTGATATAGAGAAATGTGTTGAACTTGTGACCCACATGTAAACAGCCTCCCCGGTCCTATGGCCTTCTGAGTGGGATGTCTTCAGAGAGGTTCTGCTGTCTTGTAACTAAGAGAGATGAGAGGTCCAGGAGGCCAGCTGGTGTCACTCATACCTACTGCACATTCAACATAACTCACCGCCAACAATGAATCATGTTGCACCTCTCTCACACATACACACACACAAACACACACACACATAGTGTTCTTACGCTTGCTCGCACACACACACACACACACACACACACAAATATACACACACACCCCTCCCTCCTCTACTCCCTCCTCACAGCTCTTTTATTCTCTACCTCTTGCTAAATCTTCTCTCGGTTCATGCCAGTATGTAATCAATTCCATTTCTACCACTGGTCAGTCAGAATTAAATGGTGCAATTTGTCTTTATATACATATCCATTCATCACTGGGTTTATTTGTCTGATTCAAAATATATTTGTTCCTCATGGTCATCTCAGTTGCAGAGAAGTACAGTAGCTACTGTTGCACAATAGTCATTCTTTTTAGATTGTGTCTATAGCCATCCTTAGTTAGTTGCACTGAAAGGACAACTTTTCCTCAACTGCAGTCACCCTGTATCTGTCAAGGCCTGATGGTTGTTTAACAAAATATGATAGGAGGTTCAACTAGTCAAAAGGTTACTTTGGTCTTCTTGACCTTGAATTTGACATTTCATTTACTTGGCTATCTCTCTCAGGTCATTTCTCATACAGTAGATATTTAGTTCACTCCCACTGAAATGTGAGCTAGTGTGAGAGTTGGAAGAGAGCAGACTCAGAAAGCAGCTTTGGCACCGTCCTCTTGTTCAGAGGCTGTCCGCAAAAGAGAACTTACCATGCTTAATGTACCACACCACTGCATGTTCAAAACTTAAAGCACTCTTAATGATGCCAGACAAGAAATGTCTATTTTCCATCTAGAGGTGTTGTTGGAGTGACTTGAGTCAAAGGTCATCTTGCATAGCAAATTCTCAACGTTAAATTCCCTGTTGATATAAAATGGGGTTTGGGGCAGCTATGCTTGCTGTGAGCTATAATAAATTAAACTGTATATAAACGTGTGTGTATGTGTGGTGTGTGTGTGTGTCTTTGTGTGTAGTGTGTACCTGTATGTGGTTGTGTTTTTTGTTTTCTAAGGTTTGTACTGTAATGTCTGTTGTGGTGGGTGGATAGGTGACTGTGTGTGTGTGTGTGTGTGTGTGTTTGTGAGTGTGTTGAAGAACAAGATTGCTTGCAAGCATGCTGTTCAGCCTGACTAGAATATTTAACTTGCCTGGTTTGTGTGGGTGTGTGTGTGGGTGGTAAGCCTGTATGTGTATGGATGGACGTGTGTATGGCATGTGTATGTGTGTATAAGTGTGTGTCCCAGGCGGACAGGTGTGTGTCCCAGCCCCAGGTTGGTTCGGGGCAGAGGCAGTAACTCCTGTCCCTCTCCCTGCAGGTGGCAGACAGCGAAGCAGCACCAGTCACTAGCAGGCCTCTCGCTCTTGGTCTGTCTCTCTACCTGGCTCTGGCTGTGTGTCTGCTGCTGCCTCCGCTGCTGCTCTCACTGTCAGTGCTGGCTGATCTGGCTTGTTAACCCCCCCAGAAGCCCCCCTTGCTCCCTTGCCCCCATCTCCTTGCACCTCTTCTTCAGATCCCACTGTCTGGCCCCTTTCTCCCTCCTTGCCCCCTGGGCTCCCCCTCTGCCACCTCCCCCTGGCTGCCCTGCTCCTAGGCAGGGGCACATCCCCCCCTGGGGTCCCTCCCGGTGTTGGTGGGGCGAGGTGGGGGGCAAGGTGAGGTAAGGCGGGGGGCCCGTGTCAGTGTGCCTCTCTCTGTGTCGCTCCAGGTTACGGGCTGATGCAGGAGGAGCTGCTCTCCCCTCCCTCCATGCAGTACAGCCTGCCCTCCCCGCTGGGCAACGAGCCCTACTGGCAGGAAGTCTCCAGTCTGGAGTGTGCTCCCATGGCCACCACAGAGGAGGACACGCTCATGGAGATGTCCGATGTGCAGGTGTGGCCCTCTGGCAACAGCCCCTCCTTAGTGGCCGTGGAGGACTCCTCGCTGGAGTGCAGCAATGCCGACGACTCGGAGGGGCTGCTGGGGCTGCCGTATGGGAGCCTGGGCCGGCCGGGCAGTGGGGCCAGCGGTGGGGGCGGGGGGCTGAGTGGATCTATGGAGCTGGTAGAGGACAACTCAGAGATGGGGGCTGTTGACTCGTTCAGCACCGCCACCCCTGCCACCCCTGCCTCGTTCAGCACCGCCACCCCTGCCACCCCTGCCTCGTTCAGCACCGCCACCCCTGCCACACCTTCTTCGTTCGGAGGCACCATCGCCGCCGCGGTCAACAACGTTAACGGGCTGGACAAAGGTCAAGTGTCAAATGTCGTGAGGTCAGAGGCAGCAGCGGTCGGAGGCAACATGGCGGGTGGAGATGGAGCTGGAGGAGGAGGAGGAGGAGGAGGAGGAGGAGGAGGAGGGACAGGCTCAGAGGAAGGGCTTTCTCTTGTTGCAGGACAACAGCAGCGGGTGTACGCCCGGCTGAGCGAGTCGCCCGGTCTGAGCCGCGTGGCAGATCGTAATGGAGACAGGTGAGTGTGTTGTCAGACCTCAGTCAGTCTGCAGCTCAGCTGGACACAGTACTGGCCAGACAGGGGGTGGTCCAGAGTTCAGACACTCACCTCTGAGACAACTCACTGAGCCTCAGGACACGTCAATGTTGCTGTGTTTCCTAACCTAATAATACAATATTTAGTTTTAGTAAAAGAGTGTTCTATGAAGGAATATTAGAGTCAGCTTTTGTTTGACCCACACATTTGATACACATTGGCCTCTTTCTCCTCCTTTGACCATTTGTCTCTTCTCCTCTCACTCCTCCTTTCTCTCCTCCTCTCACTTGTCCTCTCTCTCCACCTCTCTTCATCTCTCTCCTCCTATTTTCACTCATCCTCTGCCTCCTTAGGTCCAGTGGTTGCAGTGGTGGTAGTGGAGGCAGCGGTGGAGGTGGTGGAGGCTCTTTCCTGTCCTACCTGCAGGAGCAGTCGGGTCCAGGCTGGCAACCTGTCACGGACCACACTCAGGCCTGGGTGGGCTCGCAGACAGCCAAACCCAGGCAGGCCATGGACTCTATGATGTCATCAGTACGCGCCGCCATGGACGTGGACCCAAGCCAGTCCCGCGTGTCCCAGGAGGCCTTGCTTCAGCCGGTGCGGGACATGGGGCACACGGAGATCCTGCGCGGGCACTTCAGGGGCACCCAGCCGTTTGAGAAGGGCCTGGGGTTCCCTCACAGGGTGCCAGAGCTGCGGACCTGGGACGAAGTACGCCTGAGGGGGCAGGTATGTGGGAAACCAATGCTATTATCTTAGCTATCACAAGACTATGTTATACGCCACTTAAATTAAGTACAATAACTCTGGCCCAAGTATGCATAGGTACGTTTTTACATATCCATGAGATGGTAAGTAAACATTGATTAAAGGCAGCTATAATACATTAGGTATGGACAGGTCCCTAAATGATCCAGCTCATCATGTAAAAGCTGTGTTAATGCTGTAGGAGTTGTCTGACCACAGTCCAAACCCAGTGACAGTAGGCTATGACTGAAGTTGATTATTTATGGTACTGTAATCCCACGCTCTTCTCACGCCCACATATAAACACACACACACACACACAAACAGAAGGCCCAAGAAGGGCAGAAACAGCCTGTCAAGCCAAATATAGCAGCCCCTGTCACCGGATCCCCAATCCCACCCCATCACACGTGTCATCTACTGTAGTATACTGGCACTGCATCAGACCAACCAGAGCACCCTAAAGGACATGCCAGCTTTATCACGCTGTGAGAGGGCAAAGAGGGACTGTTGCTGTTTGAGTCTCTGTGGGCTCCCTGGTAGGTGATGATATTGTTATATTGGGACTGCCAGTGTGTTGGTACAGTTACCACAGATAACAATGTTTCCCATAGAGAATCAGTGGCAGGAAATGGTCTCGCTGCAGACTATCTGCATCTTACTGTACTGTGCAAGTGAAATAGATCCCAAACCATTACAGAATAATAACGTATGTAATTGTGGTGGAACATATTCCATGGGAAGTAATAATGTAAGTGTGAAAGTATAGTGTATGGTTGTGTGTACCAGAGGGAGGCCTTAAGGTCAGGGTGCAAGTGTATCAGTGTTCTTCTCACGCTCAGCCTCTCAGACTTACAGAGCAGAGCAGAGCAGAGCGCCTCTCTGGAGCAGCCAGAGGTATTTAAAGACTACGGATCATATGGCTGGGAGAGAGAGAGAGCAGAGGGGTGAAGGGTGAGAGGGTTGTTTTTGAAAGCACAGAGGAGGGGAGAGAGAGGGTGAACGAAAGAGAGAGAGGGAGAGGAAATAGGAGCCTCCCAAGGTTGCAGTCACTTGGATCTGATGGCATGGGCCAGCCAGTCCTACTGACCAGCTGACAGACTGAGAGAGCGAGGGAGAAGGAGCCAGAGAAAGAGGGAACAGGGTCTGGTGGAGTAGAGCTGAAGAAGGGACACAGAGGGAGAGATAAAAGGAGAAGACGCCAGCCCTGTTGAAAGAAGAGAAGGCCCGAGGGTGCAGCTGTTGCTCCAGACTGACGGAGAGAAGTGTTGGTGGAGAGTAGACAAGAGCCTGCACAGGCCTGTGTGTGTTAGTGTGTGGTGGGTGTGTGAGTGGGTGTGTAGTGCGCTCCACTGGGTCGCTTGGTTGGACACACTCTGCCCAGAGGTAGAAGCTTGGAGGGGCAGTGATGTGGGCCATGGTGACTGAGCTGCTTTTCAGCTTTGTGCTGCTGGCCTTCCTGGTGATAAGCTGTCAGAATGTGATCCATATAGCCAGCGGCTCCGTGCGCTCAGTGCTCACCTACGTGCACGCTGCGCTGGACCGCGAGCTGGGCGAGGCCGAGGGCGTGGCCGACGAGGAGGAGAACGTCACCACCCGCGTGGTCCGCCGCAGGGTCATCCTCAAGGTACCCCACAGAGAGGGGAGGGGGTGGGGAAGGAAAGGATGAGAGAACTGACTAGCAATGGAAAAACATCATAAAAGAAAACGTGGTGGAAACAAACGGTGGGGTGGAAAGTAGATGGTTGCTGTGCGTACGTACGTGCATGTGTGTGTGTGTGTGTGTGTGTGTGTGTGTGTGTGTGTGTGTGTGTGTGTGTGTGTGTGTGTGTGTGTGTGTGTGTGTGTGTGTGTGTGGGGGGCATGGTTAACTATACTTGTGGGGACCAGAAGTCCCCACAAGAATAGTAAACCAAGAGAAAAATGACCAACTGGGGACATTTTGTTGGTCCTCACGTGGTCAAAATGCTATTTCAAGGGAGTGTATGGTTAAGGTTAGAATTAGTGTTAGGGTTAGAATTAGGGTTAGGGTTAGGAGATAGGGATAGTTTTAGTGTTAGGGTTAGGAGCTAGGGTTAGGTTTAGGGTTAAGGTTAGGTTTTTGGGTTAAGGTCAGTGTTAGGGTTAGGGAAAATAATATTTTCAATGGAACTGAATTGTATGTTCCCACAAGGTTAGCTGTACAAGAGTGTGTGTGTGTGTGTGTGTGTGTAAAGCTCAGAGGCGATTGTAAAGCTCAGACGTGATTTAAGGTTTGGCTGTGACAAAGGGAAATGTTGGTCAGGGGCGAGTGGAGACATACCTCTCTCTGGATCATATTGTTCATATTTGGCAAGGTGAGATAAGATAGTAACAGAGGGAAGTAAGAAGAAAACTAGGGATGTTCAAACAAACCATAGGCCTACAGTTGAGACCCATTTAGGCTGTAGATACACAGGCCTTGTATGTGCTGTGGCCGTAGGCCTACAGTTGAGACCCACTTATACAGGCCTTATACGTGCTGTTGTGTCTGTGAAGGGTTCAACCTGTGTGGTCTAACTGTGAGTGTTTAAACCTATGAGCTCAGCTCTAAACTCACTGTAATAAGAACTAGGGCTGTGACGATACCAGTATCCCAATATGTTTTCCATGGCAAAAATGAAAACACGAAGCAGACCAAAGTCTTTGGTCCATTATAAACCTGCTGTATGTAAGATATTGTGTGTTATAGCTTGGAAAATAACTACAGTGGGGAGAAAAAGTATTTAGTCAGCCACCAATTGTGCAAGTTCTCCCACTTAAAAAGATGAGAGAGGCCTGTAATTTTCATCATAGGTACACGTCAACTATGACAGACAAATTGAGAAACAAAATCCAGAAAATCACATTGTAGGATCTTTAATGAATTTATTTGCAAAATATGGTGGAAAATAAGTATTTGGTCACCTACAAACAAGCAAGATTTCTGGCTCTCACAGACCTGTAACTTCTTCTTCAAGAGGTTCCTCTGTCCTCCACTCGTTACCTGTATTAATGGCACCTGTTTGAACTTGTTATCAGTATAAAAGACACCTGTCCACAACCTCAAACAGTCACACTCCAAACTCCACTATGGCCAAGAGCAAAGAGCTGTCAAAGGACACCAGAAACAAAATTGTAGACCTGCACCAGGCTGGGAAGACTGAATCTGCAATAGGTAAGCAGCTTGGTTTGAAGAAATCAACTGTGGGAGCAATTATTAGGAAATGGAAGACATACAAGACCACTGATAATCTCCCTCGATCTGGGGCTCCACGCAAGATCTCACCCCGTGAGGGCAAAAATCCCAAAACCACACGGGGGGACCTAGTGAATGACCTGCAGAGAGCTGGGACCAAAGTAACAAAGCCTACCATCAGTAACACACTACGCCGCCAGGGACTCAAATCATGCAGTGCCAGACGTGTCCCCCTGCTTAAGCCAGTACATGTCCAGGCCCGTCTGAAGTTTGCTAGAGTGCATTTGGATGATCCAGAAGAGGATTGGGAGAATGTCATATGGTCAGATGAAACCAAACTTTTTGGTAAAAACTCAACTCGTCGTGTTTGGAGGACAAAGAATGCTGAGTTGCGTCCAAAGAACACCATACCTACTGTGAAGCATGGGTGTGGAAACATCATGCTTTGGGGCTGTTTTTCTGCAAAGGGACCAGGACGACTGATCCGTGTAAAGGAAAGAATGAATGGGGCCATGTATCGTGAGATTTTGAGTGAAAACCTCCTTCCATCAGCAAGGGCATTGAAGATGAAACGTGGCTGGGTCTTTCAGCATGACAATGATCCCAAACACACCGCCCGGGCAACGAAGGAGTGGCTTCGTAAGAAGCATTTCAAGGTCCTGGAGTGGCCTAGCCAGTCTCCAGATCTCAACCCCATAGAAAATCTTTGGAGGGAGTTGAAAGTCCGTGTTGCCCAGCGACAGCCCCAAAACATCACTGCTCTAGAGGAGATCTGCATGGAGGAATGGGCCAAAATACCAGCAACAGTGTGTGAAAACCTTGTGAAGACTTACAGAAAACGTTTGACCTGTGTCATTGTCACGATCGTCTGACGAATGAGACCAAAGCGCAGCGCGTTGAGTGAACATGACTTTATTAAATTAAAGTACTCAATGCCAAAACAACAAACAATGACGATACGTGAAGTCCACAGTGACAAAGACTGAATACGGAACAAAAACCCACAACACTAAGGTGAACACTGACAGTTTAAATATGGCTCCCAATCAGAGATAACGAGCCGACAGCTGACACTCGTTACCACTGATTGGGAGTCACACGACCAAACAAGGAAACCCAAACAAATACAACACAACCAATACCACACACAACCAAATGAACACACCCTGGCTCAAAATACACAGTCCCGGAGCCAGAGCGTGACAGTACCCCCCCCTAAAGGCGCGGACTGCGACCGCGCCTCAAAAACCCCAAACAGGGGAGGGCTGGGTGGGCATTACTCCTCGGAGGCGGCTCCGGCTCCGGCCTTGACCACCACCCTACTACAATCCCCCCGTAGTGCCCCCAGTCCGATCTGACCCAGTTAGCTGGATCAGGACTGCCGACGCGCACCCCTGGCTTGGCGCGTGAGGCAGGAATGGACCGGACCTGGCAGACGATACGCACCCTAGGCTTGATGCGTGGAGCCGGAACGGGCCTCACCAGGCTGACGACTCGCATCCCTGGCTTGGTGCGAGTAGCAGGAGTGGGCTGGATCAGGCTGACGGCTCGCACCCTTGGCTTGGTGCGAGTAGCAGGGACGAGCTGAACCAGGCTGACGACTCGCACCCTTGGCTTGGTGCGAGTAGCAGGGACGAGCTGAACCAGGCTGACGACTCGCACCCTTGGCTTGGCGCGAGTAGCAGGAACAGGCCGGGCTGGGCTGGCGACGCACACCGTAGGTTTTGTGCGTGGAGCAGGAACAGGCCGGGCTGGGCTGGCGACGCACACCGTAGGCTTTGTGCGTTGAGCAGGAACAGGCCGGGCTGGGCTGGCGACGCACACCGTAGGCTTTGTGCGTTGAGCAGGAACAGGCCGGGCTGGGCTGGCGACGCACACAGTAGGCTTTGTGCGTTGAGCAGGAACAGGCCGGGCTGGGCTGGCGACGCACACCGTAGGTTTTGTGCGTGGAGCAGGAACAGGCCGGGCTGGGCTGGCGACGCACACCGTAGGTTTTGTGCGTGGAACAGGAACAGGCCGGGCTGTGCTGGCGACGCACACCGTAGGTTTTGTGCGTGGAGCAGGAACAGGCCGGGCTGGGCTGGCGACGCACACCGTAGGCTTTGTGCGTTGAGCAGGAACAGGCCGGGCTGGGCTGGCGACGCACACCGTAGGCTTTGTGCGTTGAGCAGGAACAGGCCGGGCTGGGCTGGCGACGCACACCGTAGGTCTGGTACGTGGAGCAGGAACAGGCCGGGCAGGGCTGTCGACGCACACCGTAGGCTTTGTGCGTGGAGCAGGAACAGGCCGGGCTGGGCTGGCAACGCACACCGTGGACTTGGTGCGTGGAGTAGGAACAGGCCGGTCCATACTGGGAACACACACCACTGGCCTTAACCGGGGATCAGGAACGGGCCGGACCGGACTGGTAACACACCTCAGTCTCTCACGCCGTGCCTCAACTACTTCCCTCCCTCTACTCGCCAATGGCTCCCGTAATCCGGTAGCCTTCTCTCCACGTCTCCCTGTGGCAGCCTCCTGCTGCCCAGCCGCCCAAGCCATGTGCCCCCCCCAAAAAACTTTTTGGGGTTGCCTCTCGTCCTTCCGACGATGACCCTGCTGACGCCGTTGCTCCTCTCCATCCTGGGTCTCCCCCTTCATCGCCCTCCGGTACCGGACGGCCTCCTCCTTCGTAATATGCCCCCAGCCGAGGAGGACATCCACCAGCGTTACCTCCTGCGTGTGTTCCTGGACACGCTGCTTGGTCCTGGTA